GTTAATAAAGGAGCAAATTTTACCCTTAGTGACAGGTATCAAATTTATTTTTGGTATAATTATTTATTTTCTACTGACAACCAAAAGTACAGATCTTCTGAAGATAAATGTGGCTCCAGTTCAAACCCAGGCTGTAATCTGTGGAAGTCCTTTCATTAACTTAAATAGAAATTGGCCCACATCCTTAAACATTAACCTTATAAATTATGATAAGAAATCCAAATTTTACTGGTAAGATTCAAAACCAGAAGAATGCCAGATGAGCTCAGCAACTCAAAAGATTAAGCTTTTCATTTCCCTCACTTCAAATGGGAGTTTGAACCATGCCCAAATTAGCATTAGGTGACGTCCTTCAGTATCCAATTTGTGCAAGTGAAACAGAGAATTATAACAAACGAATGAAAACTTAGCATGAGAAGCTCGATTCAAAAGATCCACGTACATAAAAAATATCATTCCAGTTAAAAAATGAAAGCTGTTTTTAATAGATAAGTGCAATTATTTATTTCTTCTTATTTCCATTAGTGCAACAATAATCTGATACTTTTAACTGTTTGAGAGAAAGCATTTCACAAAAAATCATATAAAAAGCCTATTAATTTGTACATGATACATGAAAAGCAGCTATATTAACAATCTATTAATATTAATCTTGTTCTTGGAAACACTGACATGTCAGAGGGACAGTCCAGATTTTTAGCTAAGCATATACCTTTGTCATTTTATCTACCTTACAGAACTCAGCAACACAGCTATAAAATTGAGAAAAATAAGAAGACTATGCCTGCATTATTTGTGCCTTAATGAATTTAACCACTTAAAATGCTAAACCTTTTTTCTATTACAACTTTATAATCTTTGTTTCTGCATGACTATCTTGTTTTTAATTATCCATAATTTGCTTGCTTCTCTCATGAAGTATTTTAGATAAGACTTTTAATTACTGACAGCTGTGGCAATAGGCTTCCTTCCATCCCCCAGGTACAAATGATGTCTCGACTTCAAAAAGAAAGCGGTATCACAATATTTCAAAACATTCACCAACTTCACAATAAATATTAAGTTAAAAAAACCCTAGCTACATAGTTTAAATAATAATACTGTTTTGACAACGTATTTGAGCATCCTACCTTGAATGCAAATCATGTTATATTCCAGGACCTGGCTTCTAATGCTCCAGTGCTACTGGAGTAGGATTTTGCCACATTTTCAAAGCTAGTTACTACTGCTACTTTTCAGAGATATTGAGCATTAGGGATCCCATTGCCTTGAATAGGAATTGAGAGGGCTGAATATTTCTGAGCATCAAGCCCAAGATGTTTCAAGCTGAGCATCTATGCTTTCAGTCAAAATGAGCAGCTACATTTGAAAAGTGTACTTGACGCCTGCTTTCTACTTTAATAAAGAAAATACACAGGATGGGATGGAACATAAAAGTTGTATAAAGAAGGGCAAATTGTTTTATCATGCTGATTCAGCTGAAATTCAACAGGCATCTGGTACATCAGTGTTTGCAAACCTGACCTGGAAAAAACATGCCACAATCCCCTGCCTCCACTCCTACTGTTGCTTTCTCCAGAAAAGCTAGAGCAGTGGCTTCTTGCAGAATAATAGTTGCAGCAGCATTGCCAAAGAGGTAAATTTTAAAATTCACCTACAGGAACTGGCTCCAGCATTAAAAAATAGTTTAAGTGGAAAGCAGTCAAAAGAAGCTACACAAATAGTTCTGCCACTCTTTCCCCTTCCTCTCCTATTTAACACTTAATTTGGGATGAAATAGTACTCAGAAGGAAAGAGTCTAACATGCAGAAAGAGATGAAAACATTGGAAACCATTCTAAATATCACAACATTAAATTTTTACCTTGATTATATCTACACATGTAATAAAAATCAAAGATCAGAATTGTTATTTTTAACTTATACATGAAAGTCATTATAACACAACTAATAAACTTGAGAAAGTATCAGACAAAACAGAAACATATATTCAAATAACTAACCATTTTCAATAACTATTTTTAGAAGCCTGTATTGTCCATTTCTTGCTCTGGCAAAGGTTTCTTTAACATCTCCACTAGCTAAAAGGGGAAAAAAAAAAAAAAAAAAAAAATCAGTAAATAAATGAAGAAGATTTACTGCATTTAAAAAACAAAAAATATATTCATTCATGTGTTTGAATGTCTACATAATCCCCCCTCATGTAACATAATCAGCTGTATATACTTAATGTTCACATGTACATAATCACTTGTAGGTTTTACAGCTAATACAGCAGAGATGAATTCTAGTATACATCTGAAAGCAGTAATTTCAGGATGTTTGCAGGCCCAGGTATACATCTTCAATTTATTAATTGCCCACTAGCCAGATACAAAATGGATGTGAAAGACAGATGCAAACAGCATGCAGGTAGAAATTAACAGTATCTGGTTGCCATGTTGCTAATGTTTCACAAGAGCTCTGACCCTGAACATCATGGGTAAAGCTCCCTCCCTTCTTTTACAACTATCCAGGCATTTTCAATTCCTGACCTGCTGCAATAGAATGGGTTTATAATTAATTTTGTACCTTAAGCTCTCACTTCCTTTGTAGCACTTGTAATTTGTTACCGGTTCCAACATTCTTTTTGAAATTACTTTTTATAATCAATTAATGTATAGATTACTGATTGGCCCATCCCATACATTTGCTGCATCTTTGTACACTGGGCCATCTCCTTTACTTAGGAAGATTTTCACAATCTAAAATATGGGGGAAGAAAGAAAACCTCACAAACACAGACTTAAGAGGGAGCTTTTAAGAGGCATAGATGGCAATAAGATTCTCAATCCCACTGACAGTCTCATTGGTTGCCTGCAATTTGCGCTTCAACCATCTCAAGGTCTCCAGCCCTAAGGATTATGAAAATCATCAGTGATGCACTGACCCTCTTTAACTTCTAAGAGGAAGTGTTTTTGGTCTCTTCTCCCCTTCCCTCCTCCCACCCTCCTGGCTGCTAGGGTAGTGAAAGGTCTATTACTCCACATTTCCCAAAGAAGTCTGGATGACTGATTTATGTAATATCATAAAATTACTGCAATCCAGTCTATAACACCGGAAAACACATTAATTGGATTCTTATTGATTCATCAGAACCAAGATGATTAAAATACTAGTAGTCTCAGTTAAATTTCAGATAAACCTCAGAGATGGGACTTTACCTCCATTTCCAATGCTATTGATTTTTATATTCCTGTCCACACTATTCCTATTAAATACTTCAAAAAAGCAGTTGAACATGGGTAGCGTTCAACTTAAAAAGGTAAAACAATTTGCATCTGGACTACAAGGTAAAACAATTTGCATCTGGACTACAAGGTAAAGATGGCAAACTAACTTATACAGGTATACTGAAGAACTGTGTTTGAATCCTAAAAGGATTATCTTGGCCTCGGTGGTTCTTTTGAACTTTGTTGAGGGTTAGTCAATTTAACTGTAGCATAGACAGGGAATTATATAGGATTTACTGCAGAGCTGTACAAGCTGCTCTTTCTGAATAATCCCACAGTACACAGCACAGTGCCAGCAACATAAAAGTCCACTATCAAACCAGGAAACAAACAAAGGGCTGATAGAGTTACCTGCTGAAGCAGGTGCATTGGCAGATTCTACTAGTTTAACCCATAACCACATATTCAAACAAATTCTTTGTTTTTCTTCAAGGATATGTCCCACCCCACTTTACATTTTCAGGCTAACAAGGGGGTTTATTTTAGAATTTCTCTGGGCTACCATTAATTAGACAGTGGTCACTGGAAAAATAATGCCAACCCAATATGTAAACAATCTACTGCTCACGCTTTTCCAGAAACCCTAGGCCCCTTTATAGTACTTCATAAAGAAAGGAAAGTCTTCAAAAGTTTATAATTTCCAACATGCTACAGATATGTGACCTGCATGAAGTAATTTAGAAAATTTTGCCTAAAGAAAACATCTACAGCATTCCATGCAATGGAAACAAGTAATACCAAATCATAAGATATTTGTTAACACGATAAGATGTCCAATCCTTCATTTAGCTTCTGGTTATTAGGTATCCAATAAATTTGAAGCACAAATCCTCCCATTACTTGTTCTACTATGCTTATAGAAAATAGTGTTGCTAACTCTTGTGACCCCTCCCCACCCCATGAGCAACACTAGTTCGGCAGGGCTGGGATGGGACTGGAGCCACAACCAGGACCAGCCTGAGAATGGCACAAAAAAACGACACCTCTTCTGAATTTCAGCCCCGCAGAGGAGACAAACCATATGACTACCCCCATTCGGCGCCCTCCTGCAGTAAGGCTGCTTAAGCAGCAAACCAGAACACTGCTTCCATTTTTCCTCAAAAGCCAGCACTATTTCACAGGAAGGGAGGGAGAAAAAGAAAAGAGCTCAGCTGCTCTGAATGGGAATGAAACATAGAGAGGAAGGATACCTAGACACCTGTCTCCTACATCCCATTGCAACTGTTCCAGCGAAGAACCCCTAGGAGCATCAGCCAACAGAAGTGAGGCAGGGGTGCAAGAAAATTGGCAGAACTAATCTCATAATTGTAAAATCTGACTCATGATTTTGGAACCTTTGGCAAGACTGAGAAACATAAAAGATGTTTGAAGGGTAGGATGGTCATTGAGAGTGACACAGATAAACTGTACAAGCGGTCCAAAAATAATCAAATGAAATAAAGTAAGGAAAAAAAAAAGAAGTCCAGCATTTAGGACAGAATGATCACATGCACAAATACAGACTGGGGAATAACTGGCTAATCCAGTGGGGGCCAACCTTTCTGATTGGCCTTTTTGATAATTACAGGTCTAGGAAACATGACTTAAAATAAAAGGTTAGAAGAACTGGAATTACTTAGTTTGGAAAAAAGACAAGGAGGATTTGATAACAGTCTCCAAGTAGCTGGAGGGTGGTTATAAAGAGGATTGTGATACACTATTCCCTGTGGCTGCTAGGGACAGGACAAGAAGTAAAGGTATTAAATTGCAACAATGGAAATTTAGTTTGGATATTAGGAAGAACTTCTCACTACAATGGTAGTTAAGCATTTAAAAAAAAAAAAAAAAAAAAAAAAAGACTGACTAGGTTATGAAATCTCCATCCTTAAAGGTTTTAAAGAGCAGGTTAGGTAAGCTTCTCTGGAATAGTTTAGACAGGGATGATCCTGCCTTGGGGTTGGACTAGATGAGCTTTTGAGGTCCCCTTCCAGCCCTACTTCTTCTCTATAGGTATAAAGAGACACAGAACCATACAAAGTTATGGTTGGAAGGGACCTCAGGAGGTCATGTAGTTCAACCCCCTGCTCAAAACAGAACCATCCCCAAGTAGATCATCCCAGCCAAAGCTTGTCTAGTTGGGTGTTGAAAACCTCCAAGGATGGAGCTTCCACCACCTTTCTGGTGCTCCAGTGTTTTACTGCCCTCCTAGTGAGAAGTTCTTCCTAATCTCTAACCTCAATTTCCCTTGCTGCAACTTGAGACTGTTGCTCCTTGTTCCGTCATCTGCCACCACTAAGAACAGTCTAGCTCCATCCTCTTTTGAACCCCCGTCAGGTAGTTGAGAAGACTAAGAAGGGATTTAATATCAGCTTTCTTCTCCAAATTAAATAAACCCACTTCTCTCAACCTCTCCTCAGAAGTCACGTGCCCCAGCCCCCTCACCATTTTCATTGCTGACATCTTCAAATAAAGCAGATTACCTATTGCTGGGATGTATCCTGCCATGTCGCCTCTTGTTCTGTGTTGGGCAGGGGCCCAATCCTATGGGACAATGGGCAGCATGGACCCCAAATGGCCCTTGAACTCTCCAGGGTGCATCTCTACAAGTGGGGAAAGCCTAGGTTCCCCACTTATACAGGCATGTCCTGGAGACTGCCCAGGGCACATCTCTGCTAACAGAAAACCTCAGCTTTTCCTTGGGGGTCTCTGTAAGGCGGAACCTAGGGTGGTACTCCTGGGGCTTAGAGAGGCCCAATCCTGCATGGGGATTCTGGGGGCATGGAAGAGCGGGCCCCTCAACCACCTGCCTGGGATGGTTGGAAAGCACGGGCAGTTCTGGACGCCTGTACTCTCGTGCCGTAAAGCTAACAGATGTCTGCCACAACAAAGCTGCAGAAACCATTATCACCTTTGTCACGCCCACAGATTTTGGGCTTTGCAGGGCAAGGGGCTGGGCTGTTGTACTACCATACTGGGGTTTTTTTAGAGAGATGTGGGTTTCCACACTACAGCTCTACATATACTTTTTCACCTGCGCCTCACCCAAAACACGGGGCTGGGGAAGGATGATTTCTCCGTTACTCTGCTTCTTTCTCATACCTTGCAACAGCAGATTTATGGGTTTCGGCACCAGGTTACCTCTCCCTCTAGGCCTGCTGTCTGCAACCCACCCCAGTTCCCTTGCCGCTATGTGACAGCCCTTGCCTCACTGCTCTGTCATCCTGTTGTTCAGGATCAGCAGGACAAAACTGACCCAGATCTGGGCGTCTTGCCCAGAGCCTGCCGAGCAGCTGCCGTGAAACTGAACACAGGTGAGCTGCACTCGCACAGCGACCTGCACGCAACCAGCAGAGGGCGTGTGTG